AAACACTGACTGCATTTCAGACTCCTTTGTCAATGAATTCAAAGTATTTCAAAAAGCTGCGAAGAGCAGTTATTTAGGAAAACAGAGTCAATGCTGCTGTGCTCAATTAAAGCTGTCAAAAGTGCATCAAGAAGCCAATCAACCTTCTTTTGGAAAAGTCTTCGCTCTCCATTACGATGGTGGGGGTTCACTCTGTAATCAGATGCTCACATCTCTTTAGGCTCAAGGTTGACAAGAAGTGTAACTGGACTGATAATGCTTGCCTAGCACCCAACAGAAACTCATCCACCCCTGCGTTTTATTTATAGATTGCAAACTCCAAGCATCAATCTGATTACCTTTTCTAGCAACGATCCTTGAGAATTTCCACATCCTCAGCAATGTCACCTTCAAAAATGAATCCATGTGCTATTGATAGTGATTTACACAGGGAAGTGTTCTCACTGTGGTACCATTCTGACAAGTTTGCCATTCTCTGTAATAAACACTGTCATTATTTTTGACAGGGCTGGTAGAAGGGCTTCATTAAAATGTGCAGCAGGAAAAAATTGTGCATCTTGGGAGAGGATGGGAAAAGGGAATCATGGTAATTTTGAAAAAAGTAAATATACAGATCAGATATATTCCATATATACCATCCTGCCAAGCCCAGGTACTCTTGCATAAGGTGTTTAGACTCATAAAACCGTCAAAACTAGAATTTCAAATAAACATTTAGGCCTTTGGTTGCATCTGGATCTAAACTGCTCTGCTGTGCGCGGAGGCTTTGCCTTAGCATGCCTGTCGACTTTCATTTTCATTATTGGTCTATTACTCTTAGCTTAGCGATAAATTTTAAGAATGAGTTGAGTCTCTAAGGAGCTTATGGGAAATCATAGCTAGTGGTTGTCACAACATCATTTTGGAATCATCATCAAAATATATTCTTTTTACATTTTTCTATACTTTTGACCTTTCCTACTCTGGTGTCTGACTGGAATAATAAATATTTTTGTTGCATTTTACAAACTTGTCCAAAGGCACAGGAGACACGTGATCAAGCCTTCTTAGAATGGGATGATAGCATGGCTGCAGAGAAACCATATGCAAGAGTTAAGGCCTCTCTGAAAAGATCTGTTGGATGAGAAATGTTTGATTTCATATACACATCGGGAAGGCCACTTTTTATCATTTCCCCTTAATCTAGGGTCAAAGGGTGAAGTAAAAGATAAGATAAACAAATACAGAGTAGAAAGCTGGATGCCGTGGTACACTCCTGTGATCCCAATGACCGGAGAGGCTGAGGCAGGAGGATAAAAGTTTATGAGGCCAGCCTCAGCAACTTACCAAGACCCTGTCTCACAAATAAAACCAAAAAAGAGCTGGGGACATAGCTTAGTGGAGAGTGCTTGCCTAGCATGTGAGAGGCTCTGGGTTCAATCCCCAGTTCCACAAAAAAAAAAAAAAAAAAAAATCTAGAGAAGCAGGTGGCCAATTTTCTGTATTTTTCCACTTGATGAAGTAGTTACAAATGTCAGCTTCTTTCTACACACAGCTGCAGAATATGGAATCAGCATCACTTTCTACAAGTTGGAAAGGGCCTTAGAATTTCTTAAGTTCTCAGACCCACACTTTTCCAAATAAAGAACTTGAGTCTCACAGAGGTTAAGTGCATGGTGTAGCTAGGCAGTGGCAATGTCTTGTGATGACAGGTTAGTGACACTCAGGACCAGGTCTTTGGTACCATGCTCGTTGCAAGAAAGTGCCACCTTCCAAATCACTCTCCTGCCAACTCTAAACAGTTCCAACTACTGTGACCCCAGTTTTTCAACAATTGTAAGAAGTTTTGTCTTCTGTTTCTAGTGTTCAATGGACAGCTCTGTGTTTTGTTAAGGACTATGTGTTTTGCACTCCTGTCTGCAACTGGAGTACCCTGGGGGTAACATGAGGTTTCTGAGTGGAAATCAATTGCAATTGAACATGTGGTTATTTTCTTTCTTTGCTTTCCACAGGCAATTTACAAACCTTCAAGAGCTTGTCTACTGCTGTGAGTGCTCTGTTTTCCAATAAGTTTCTTTTCCTTATGAAAATAAACTGTTAATGCTGCAAAGCCCTGGGATTGATATGATGTCTGTATGTAATGGAAGCTGTTTCTCTCTCAGTCCCAAGGTAGGAGCTCAGTACAGGCCATATAATCCAGGAAGGCACACAGATATTTATTTATTTTTTTTTTAGTGGTACTGGAGATTGAACCCAGAGCCTTGTGCATGATAGGCAAGTGATCTCCCATTGAGCTACATTCCCAGTCCTTTTAAAATGTTACTTTGAGATAGGATCTGTCTAAATTGGTGGCCTTGAATGGTGATCCTCCTGCCTTGGCCCTTCTGAGTACCTGGGATTATAGGCATGCATCACTGTGCCCAGCTCACCATAATTTTTGCTTGTTTGTTTTGGCGCTAGGGATTGAACCCAGAGGTGCTCTCTACCCTTGAGCTACATGCTCAGCCTCCTTTTTTAAGCAGTAGAGTCAGCATCATCTACTGGTTGCATTTGGAACCAGGTAACAAAACCCAGAGGCCTTGGAGCACAGCCTACTAAAACCCAGGTTGATGTTCCAAAGTCAGTTTATAATAACACACCTAAGAAGATGCTGGATAATAAATCCAACCAGAAAGTTATCCGTTGGCAGGTGAAAAACCTTTTTTATTTATTTTTTCAGTGTCAGGGACTGAATCCAGAGCCTATGCACACTGGCAAGTACTCTACCGCTCAACTACATTCCCAGCCTTGATGGAAAACCTTATAAAGTCCAGAAAAGCCCATTGTCAAATGGTTGGATAGACCCACTGGCTAATGAGAAGCAATGGCAGGCAGCTGGCCAGGCCAACCATTGGTGAAGCAGTTATAGGCAGGTGCACCTTTTTGGGGGGGCTCGGTGTAGGGCGGGTACCAGGGATTGAACTCAGGGGCACTTGACCACTGAGCCACATCCCCAGCCCTATATTGTATTTTATTAAGAGACAGGGTCTGAGTTGCTTAGCCCCCTGATTTTGCTGAGGCTGGCTTTGAACTCACAATCCTCCTGCCTCAGCCTCCTGAGATGGGATGGACTCACACTTTTCCAAATAAAGAACTTGAGGTTAAGTGCATGGGGTGGGTAGCTAGGCAGTGGCAATCTGTTGTAATGACAAGTTAGTAGCACTCAGGACCAGGTCTTTGGTACTGTGCTCGTTGCAAGAAAGTGCCACTTTCCAAATCACTCTCCTGCCAACTCTAAACAGTTCCAGCTACTGTGACCCCAAGATTATAGGTGTGCACCACCATGTCCAGGTAGGTACAACTTTAATGATGCACAAAAAGCACCTGCAACTGTGACCCGCAGGACAGATGATTACTTGGTGTGGAATAAACTTGTACTTAAATTAAAAAAATTTTTTTTAGTTGTAGACGGACACAATACCTTTTATTTTATTTATTTCTGTGTGGTGCTGAGGATCAAATCCAGGGCCTCCACACATGCTAGGCAAGTGCTCTACCGCTGGGCCACCACCCTAGCCTTGGTTTTAAAATTTTAATAAGAAAGTAAATCCTTCACCTCTAATAGAACCTTGTAAAGTACCAAATTCATTGTCAGTGGTTTGGAACTTTAATATAATTGGGAGCAGCCAGGACATTTTATTTTATGATATAAACCATGAAGACAGCTCTATTATGTTGGAGACCACATTATTTTTTTCCCATGACTTATTCCAATTTTAAAGAAACTTTCAGATTCTCCATTTTTACTTCTTGGCTCAGACAGCAAGCCACTCACGAGACCATCGGAAGGCCACTAGAAGTCCACACATTTTTCCAAGAAAGAAAGATGCCTGCAGGTGTTCACCCTCACCCTGTGAGTACCCAGAAAGCCAAACAGGCTCCTTCACTTCAGTTTGGTTCACTTTGTCATCAGCCTAGGTGGCTTCCAGGCCATCCCTGACCCCCTCCATTAGCAATAGAGAAAATCTGCTCCCCAGGATCTCACCAGAGACTGACATTATTTGGCCTCTAGCAATCTCTCTGGCCTTCCAGGCGGTCTAAGGTCCATGAAGTTAGAGATCGGGCCCCTAAGCTCTTTGTGGCCGTGGTCCACTGAGGTGAGGACCATGAAGTCCTTGAGGGACACCTCAAGGTCTTCCCACCCCTTTTGGATTTTGAAGCAACAATGACTGATCCAATCCATGGTGCACAAGCTCCTCATGGCGCTGAGCTGAAGCCACGTGACCCATGGCTTCCCCGCCCTTCTCCTTACCCTCCACCTTCAAAAATGGCTGCCTTTGCTGAGTTACCTCCGATATGGTGACGTTCTACCCTCAGTTTCCATGAAGAGTGGAACAGGAAGGATCTCTTAACCAACCTGCTCTGGTAAAGACGCTTTCTTTTGTATAAGAACAAACATGGGAAGTATCTTTAAAAACTTAAAACCAATAAAATAGATTTATTTAGATAAACTAAATTTTATCATTTTATCATACACACACACACACACACACACACACTAATAGCCAGGAAGCCAGAGTTAATAGCAGGGCTCTATTATCGTAACTCTATTAGTCTTTATCACATATATTCTTCCTAACTTCATATTTTGTTCTATTTATATTTTAATTTCCAGCTGATGAAATGCTTTCTATCAAGATACCTCAAATTTGTTGAAGGAGTAGGTGAAGTTGTACACTTAAAAAAAGTCAAGGGATGAAAAAAAAAAAAGATTGAAGAATATATTATAAAAGTTCAAATCTTAATATTCTTAGAGACATTTAAGAGTGGTTAAAAGCCATACTACATGGTTTTCAAATCCCGACCCACACATTCTTGTCTTTGGTGTTAATTTGCTTTGTGACTCAGTTTCTTATTTGTAAAATGGAGAAAATAAGGGCATCTCATGGGTTAATGTTAAACTCCATCAATATATGTTACAATCAAAATATCACATCCTATTAGGCTTCTGAACTTTATTCCAAAGCAACATGATTGCTCACCTACTGTGGCAGACGCGGATGAGAGCAGAGACTTGCCCCAGGAGCCCCAGCCTGCCCATCCTCTTCCCTGAGGAGGGGAATCCACAGCCTGCAGAGAAACAGATCAGCAGCAGGTCAGCAATTCAGTTTATCCCTAAATGGAAAAATGCCCATTGGTATAAAACAAAGGGAAGGTTTAAGAAAAACCACCACCTGCCGTATCGCACTAGCTTATGGTTCATATGGGTCATAAAAAAAATATCTCAACCCACACTGCAGTGTGTACTTTGAAACCAAATTGGTTAGTGAAGGTGTGGGTTTCTGAAGTCTTGGTCTGAAGTGAAGTAAGCCTCAGTTCTCCCATTATTTGGAAGTCAGGGACATGAGCTGTGTCCAGAAAAAAAGATACAACACATTAGAGCCCCAGAGTGATTCAAAAACATTCAAAAGAAACTTGACCCAGGCAGATAAACAAATGTGGTCTTCAAGGTAGGGTGAACTTTCAAACCTCTGGGATGGCAGATGGGATTCTTGGCATGGACCATGGACAAAGTGTCTAAAAGGTACCAATAAGCCTGGAGGTGGGTGGCAGCAACAGCAAGCTTTGTGAGGGAGACACCTTTCTATTTGACCCCTGTAAGTGCATCTCTCACGCACAGGGGAAGACGATCTCTGGCCTCAGTGGATTCAAATTCTTTTGCCTCAGTTTTTAGAGTTGGGACTGGAGACTATGGTTCAGCATGAGCTGTTTGCATGAATAGATAATGCAGGTTGACCCTCTTCTACTCTCTGTGTACACTAAGAACTAAGCGAAAACAGAGTAAGCAGAATGATGGAGATATGCTCAGAGATCTGCTTGGAATTCTAGTAGCTTCTCAGCTCCTGGTTTCCAACCCTCTTGAGACCTGCTCCATTTCTGTCTTTGGGTTCTACGAGATGCCCTTTTTAAAATTTTTTGCTTTTTTAAAAAAAATGTTTTGTTCACTGATATCCCCAGGGCCTAGGAGAGTCCCTAGAATATAATACGTGTTTAATTAATAAATATTGGATAAATAACTGAGGTTTCTGCTACTTGCAACCAATGAGTCCTGACTCAGTAGAGCTACAGCTTTCTCTTACCTCCTGGGAACATACTCTAAGAAACAAGGCAAGAATAAATACATTAGGAGTTAGCCAGATGAGAATCACAGCCTTTTCACTTGAAAAAAAAAAAAAATGAAGCTGAACATTTGAAAAATACCTGCACAGCTTGTAGATTCTGCAGCTCTGACCCAAGGCTGGTTATCAGTCATCCCAACGCCCTTTCCCCGGGCTGTCTCCACCCTTGCAGTTAGGAGTGGTCCCAGGAAACAGTTTTCAAGCAATGAAATGTATACATGAGAATGTTTCTGCTTTCATGATGACTCATACATCTATGGCTAGTGCCAACTCTTCCCCCCTCCCTCTTTCTTGCCCTAGATGGGGATATGATGATTGAACCGGAGCGGTCATTAGGGAAAGGCCAAGGAACCACAGAGTCACTGGTCCTGGCCCTGCTAAAGTACTCAACCGACATAAGCAGCTAGCTACCTAGCTCCATTCTTCCTATTAAATGAGAAAAAATAAATTGCTATTTAATACACCAATATATGGATTTTTAGTTACTTGCACCCAAAGGTGTTAGAAAATATCAAACACCTTCCATCAGTGTAGAGCACAGGTCAAGAGAAAAGGTCGTGAAATTAAATTGTCTGGGTTTGGGTCCAAACACTGCCATTTGGGGCAACAAGTTACTCAAGTTCCTGTTAGACCTTCTTCCTTATTACAAAATGAGAGATATGGCAGTATTAGAACTATAAGAACCAATAACCTCATAAGCCTTGTGACGATTAAAAGAAATAATTCAGGGGCTGGGATTGTGGCTCAGAAGGAAAGCGCTTGCCTTGCACGTGTGAGGCAGTAGGTTCGATCCTCACCACCATATAAAAATAAAACAAAGATATTATATCCACCTATAAATAAAAAATAAATATTTTAAAAAACAAGAAATAATTCATATGAAGTTGTGGGCACAGCATCTGGCATATAATAAATATTCCATAAATTGTTAGCTGGCAATAATAATAAGAAACTGCATTTTTAAAACTATGAAGCAAAAAGCTTTAAAAGTTGGCTTTTATTTTTTGTTCAGTCTACAAAGAGCAGCCTGTTAACATGAATGGAAATACTCCTGACTATCTGCTTTCATTTTTGGTGTCTACATTGATTTACTTCACTTTGGCAATGGAACCCAGTGACAATTTTATACCATCATAAAGACAGATGTAAGTTGATGATTAATATCACTCTTTCATAGGACAAATCACCTCTGATGAGCAGGAAGAGTTAATACACTTAGGGGTGACAGCTTCTGACTCAAATTTACAATATTTAATAAGTTCTGACAGCTGGTAATTGACTAGCAAATGGAAATAAATGTTAAATGAGTCTAGAAATTTTTTGCTGTATAATAAGTGACTACTTCAATTGCCTTATTAATAAAGTCCTCTGACATTGAGTTGGGACTTTTTTTTTTTTTAAGACAGGATTTTGCCAAGTTACCCAGGCTGGCCTGAAACTCATGATCTTCCTGCCTCAGCCACCCAAATAACTGGGATTAGAGACATGTGCCACTGCACTGGCTTGAGTTGGGACTTCTTATCAGCTACAAAGAATATTTGTTATCAACGGCAAATGCTCACATGACTAAATGTGCACATTTAATATAAAAAATATATATACCAAATGTTAAACATTCATTATAAATTATCTCATCGTGAATATTGTCTCCACTTCAAATGGCCTTGATGTCACTCACATACAGGAAACTACGAAATATGCAGCACAGATTAACTCAGATTTTCATTATCAAATCTAGTTATTTTAAAGCTTTTTTTCTCACCCTTCTCCCCCCTGCCCCGTGCAATTTTCACCTCCTTTAACAGACAACTTCATGTCTTAACTCACAGGGAAAATAAACGAGACGTCTCTGCCCCCTCCCCATGAACTTTCAGAATGTCCTCATACTGTAACAGCAAATTGACATGGATTGATGAAGGATGTCCAATACTCAACTAAAGATCATTTAAACGTCTATAACCACTGTGTGCTCCTAAAAATATAAAAAAGTGCAGAATTTCATCAAGTTCAAAGTGCTTTAAATAGAAAAAAAATACTTACCTATCTAGTATCCCATTTAAAGGTCTCTATCATACATTCATTGGGGCTAGGGGTCTAGCTCAGTGGTAGAATGCTTAGTTAGCATGCATGAGGTTTGATGCCCCCCAAAAATAATAAAATTTATTTTAGGCCATCAAGTTCAAAGGTATCATTAGAAAAATTTATAAATATTCAGATTCCATCCAATTCAAAGGTCTTTAACCTTTATATGGGAAGTATATGTATTAAAGATCAAAGATCAATATAATTATCCTGTTTCCTTGAGAAGATGAGAAATTAGATCCTGAGGCTATCTTATGTACAATGATGTGGGCCATAGGATCTATGCAACCACATCCTTTTTAAGTTTTGTAATTCATGACATTGCCACTCTAAAGGGGGACTCAGTAGGACAGTAGGAGGGTTTCAATTGCTCAGGACATCTGCAGCTTTGTCAGAATATCTGCTGACAATGAACTCAGTTATTTCCAAGTCGTTTTCTTCCTTGTGAGTGCACCTCATTCAACTCTGGGAAGATTTAAAAATTATATGTAGAAAGGTTTAAAGCATCAAAGACAGGCTATTAATATTTGTGTGTACATTTGGTCTTTTCTGTCCTACTAATATTTATGAAATTTGACCCATTTGCCACTTTTTGAAATCCAATTTAAAAGGAATAAATTATTAGACTTCTGATGTTAAGCTGAAATCTTCCTCAGTGTATGCACACCATTATAACATTTGAGAGGTCTTTAAAATCCACTCTATAAATTGAATAGCTTTATAACAATTATTAAGTACTCAGTAAGGCTTTGTATCAGTAGATAAATGAGGTACTTAAAGAGGAAATAAAATACACCCATCACACTTTTAAATGCTGTTTAAAATATCGAAACTTATTTAAGTTGGTAAAAAGGACCAAACATTTCAGAAACCCCTTGAAAGTGACTGTTCAATTTTGCTAGACTTCTAAACAGAAAAGGATCTGTGAGACAAACATAGAGCCTAAGGAAGAATAAGGCTTAATGGATTTTCAATCTTAATAATCAAACACTAATTTTTTAAACCAAATTAAACAGCTAATTAGTTCCTTTTATGCACAAAACATACACACTGGCCTATACCCCTCAAACCCTGTCTAAATATACCCTTCTGTTAATTGGGGACTATGCTTTCCTCTTAGGTACCACTCGCACCCCTCAACTCCCCTGGGTGTGTGCGGATTGGTTATCCCTTCTTCTGGCTTCTCAACCTTTCCTTCTACTGGATACTTCCAACATTTAATCATACACATGATTTATCTGTCTCAACACCAACAAATGAAAATCACAACAAGGAGAAAGTGATTCTTTCAAACTTATCTGGTTTCTGTTCTATAGATTTCTTCTTCACCTCTTAAAAAAAAAAAAGTGTCTTTCTGTATCCACTCCCCTCTTCACTCTTCATCTTACCCAGCATGACTCTCACTGCCACTATTTTATGAGGCCATCCTCATCAAGCTCACAGTGACTTCCTTGTTGTCAGAGCCATGGACTCATTTTAGTCTTTTTATTACTTGATCTCTCAATAGCATTTGAAGTTTAACCACTTTTATACCCTTACAGTATTCTATTATCATGGCATCTGTATTAGTTCATTTTCCATTACTAAAACAAAATACAAGAGGCAAGCTATTTTATCAGGAAAACATGTTCATTTAGCTCACAGTCCTAGAGATTCAAGGCCAAGGTGAGGCACTGGCATGGCTTGGGTGTGGACTTCGTGGCAAATGGTGTCCCAGTGGTGGGAGTGCATGTGGAAGAGAGCACATCTCAAAACAGGAATCAGAGAGCAATTCAGGGATCAGCCTTGTGCCTTAACAGCTCACTCTCATGAGAGCTCTGGCTTCTGGAGCTATCTTCCTAAGGCAGCTCTCCCAATGACCTAAGGACT